TGTCTAGAACCTCCCCAGATGCTGATATCATTTGGACTGCCCTGTGTTACAACACAGCTTTTAGATAAACTTCTGCATAGCAGGTTGTAGACAAGAACCTAGGCTTTATTTGGAACATAAATTGACCCGATGCAGATTTTATTATCAGCCTAATATTTAACAATTTCTGTAAATTTTGTCATTCTTAGGAGGGTAAAATGCAATTTTGTTATGTAATAATTGCATAATGGTCTCAGACTTGTGAATTATTTTTTGTTTGTTGTGAAGAACAATGCATATACTCTCCACGGATACAAAATTGGTTGCCAGGCTTAGTCTATTAAGGATGAAATTCTGCTTCAAAATATGCACAAAAAACTTCTGTCAGAGTGCTCAGTGTGTATTCTTGACTGCTCTGGAGTAAGGGAGATAAATGCATCATATCTCCAGCAATAATGGGAATTAGATCCCCAGACTTCAGGATGTTAGTGACAGTTATTTAAGAAATCTCAGGTGCAAAAAAGAAAAAAATCTGACAACTTCAAAGGTCCTTCAAGGTATCACACCGGTAATTGACCAATCAAAATGAACTTAGTCAATTGTAGTTCCATACATAATAAAGAAATATTTTTTTATTGTGAGAAATTTTTTTAATTTCCCTTATTCTATTTTTACATTTTTGGTATCTGTGCTTAGGATATTTTATGTACTTTGTAAAATATTAAAGGTTTTTGACAGGAACTATTTCTTTCGGGGCATAGGAGGCCACTTCCTGGGGTGCACACAGGATGTTTATAAACACATTGAATACACGTGGTTTTGAGGGTATTCCTGTTTGCGGATGGAGAAAATCAGAAAATGCCGTGTAGGTACCCTATTTTTTGGTGTCAGCTGATGTGACTGGTAACGTTTAACACTTCCTGCTAAATATTTTTTCATGAATTCGAATACCTGATTTTTAATGATTTTTTATTCTATATAGAATTACATAGTGAAAACAATTACCGGTGTGATACCTTGAAGGTGATTGTGTAAAATCATCTACACCCATATTAAAGGCAGTTTTAATTTTATAAAGGCATATTTCAACAAAATATGTCATTTTATGAACTTTCTGTGTGAAAGCACATATTTCTAAATTTAGAAGCAGGGTTGACATTAATTTATACAGATTTCTATGTAAAATACTAATGACATGTCATGTTTTAACCTCAAAACTCCAAATTATGACTTTCAAAGGAGGATTATGCATCTGACATGTAGAAAGAAGTTAGAAAATGTTGGTTTTTTATTTTATATGACTTTAAACTCTGTGCACCACCTGACCGCAGTCAATTATAGTGTCTACAGCCTTTGCCGTAAAAGCACTTTAGGCTGATTTTTTCAAGAATAGACTAATTCTGGGTTTGCGAATGAGTTTTCAACAAAAGCGACAACTGCGATTAAATGTGAAGAAGTAAAACATGTTTTTAAAAAGTGTTAAATTTTACAGAGACTGGGTTTACTTTCATTTTATTCACCTTAAGTGATTCATTTATTACTGGAGTGGAGGAATAGAAATAATGAAATGAGTTAAATTTGTCTAACAAAAGTAATGCACAAATAAAATTTATTAAGAATTTTTCAAAAATAAGAAGCTTATGACCAAAAATGCATAAATACTGTCAGGGCATGAGAGTGAATACTTATTCTGAGTCCCAACCATGCATCACACATATGGTGCAGAATGTCACTTAGCGCCATGGTATGCCTGTTATGGTTCTCTAGACTTTTTCCATGCTTTCGCAGCTGACATTCAAGATTTTTCAGTTTGCCGGAGAATGTTTTTTGTCATTTTACAACTTTTATGTAGGTGTTGACCCTCTCTTTTAAATTAAGTCTCAGTCAGGATGTTTATTTTAGCATGATTTGTTAAACACATTAATATACTGAAATATTAATAAATTACAAATTAAAGTGATGAAGAAATTTGACATATTTACACAATCAAAATATCAGAATAACCATAATTCAGCTAATAAAATGCCATGTTCTTCTTTTGTCACTTCCTATAAATTTTATCAGCATTTTTTGTACACCCACCCACCTCCAAGAATCATGGAGGATGGCCTGATATTAGTTTCTTTGTTGCATTTATTCACATTTAAAAGTGTTAAGACCCATAAAAATGTTTAAGATTTATATTTTCAAATTTAAATGTTGAATTTTTATGTAAATTTGGTGAAACAAAAAGCTGTAATCTTGAATTAATCATGCAAATTCATCAAACACCTTTGAAATTCCTGAGTAATTCAGTGAAAAGAGGATAATTATGTATGTTCAATTGGAATTTCATGGCTAATTTGTGTCTGCAGAGAAAGCCAGTTACATAAATCACAACAATAAATTACATCTGAATTGTTTTCTCCATTTTCTTATCATCAAAGCAAGTTTAATGGAGTGTCAGAGCTGTCTAGAACCTCCCCAGATGCTGATATCATTTGGACTGCCCTGTGTTACAACACAGCTTTTAGATAAACTTCTGCATAGCAGGTTGTAGACAAGAACCTAGGCTTTATTTGGAACATAAATTGACCCGATGCAGATTTTATTATCAGCCTAATATTTAACAATTTCTGTAAATTTTGTCATTCTTAGGAGGGTAAAATGCAATTTTGTTATGTAATAATTGCATAATGGTCTCAGACTTGTGAATTATTTTTTGTTTGTTGTGAAGAACAATGCATATACTCTCCACGGATACAAAATTGGTTGCCAGGCTTAGTCTATTAAGGATGAAATTCTGCTTCAAAATATGCACAAAAAACTTCTGTCAGAGTGCTCAGTGTGTATTCTTGACTGCTCTGGAGTAAGGGAGATAAATGCATCATATCTCCAGCAATAATGGGAATTAGATCCCCAGACTTCAGGATGTTAGTGACAGTTATTTAAGAAATCTCAGGTGCAAAAAAGAAAAAAATCTGACAACTTCAAAGGTCCTTCAAGGTATCACACCGGTAATTGACCAATCAAAATGAACTTAGTCAATTGTAGTTCCATACATAATAAAGAAATATTTTTTTATTGTGAGAAATTTTTTTAATTTCCCTTATTCTATTTTTACATTTTTGGTATCTGTGCTTAGGATATTTTATGTACTTTGTAAAATATTAAAGGTTTTTGACAGGAACTATTTCTTTCGGGGCATAGGAGGCCACTTCCTGGGGTGCACACAGGATGTTTATAAACACATTGAATACACGTGGTTTTGAGGGTATTCCTGTTTGCGGATGGAGAAAATCAGAAAATGCCGTGTAGGTACCCTATTTTTTGGTGTCAGCTGATGTGACTGGTAACGTTTAACACTTCCTGCTAAATATTTTTTCATGAATTCGAATACCTGATTTTTAATGATTTTTTATTCTATATAGAATTACATAGTGAAAACAATTACCGGTGTGATACCTTGAAGGTGATTGTGTAAAATCATCTACACCCATATTAAAGGCAGTTTTAATTTTATAAAGGCATATTTCAACAAAATATGTCATTTTATGAACTTTCTGTGTGAAAGCACATATTTCTAAATTTAGAAGCAGGGTTGACATTAATTTATACAGATTTCTATGTAAAATACTAATGACATGTCATGTTTTAACCTCAAAACTCCAAATTATGACTTTCAAAGGAGGATTATGCATCTGACATGTAGAAAGAAGTTAGAAAATGTTGGTTTTTTATTTTATATGACTTTAAACTCTGTGCACCACCTGACCGCAGTCAATTATAGTGTCTACAGCCTTTGCCGTAAAAGCACTTTAGGCTGATTTTTTCAAGAATAGACTAATTCTGGGTTTGCGAATGAGTTTTCAACAAAAGCGACAACTGCGATTAAATGTGAAGAAGTAAAACATGTTTTTAAAAAGTGTTAAATTTTACAGAGACTGGGTTTACTTTCATTTTATTCACCTTAAGTGATTCATTTATTACTGGAGTGGAGGAATAGAAATAATGAAATGAGTTAAATTTGTCTAACAAAAGTAATGCACAAATAAAATTTATTAAGAATTTTTCAAAAATAAGAAGCTTATGACCAAAAATGCATAAATACTGTCAGGGCATGAGAGTGAATACTTATTCTGAGTCCCAACCATGCATCACACATATGGTGCAGAATGTCACTTAGCACCATGGTATGCCTGTTATGGTTCTCTAGACTTTTTCCATGCTTTCGCAGCTGACATTCAAGATTTTTCAGTTTGCCGGAGAATGTTTTTTGTCATTTTACAACTTTTATGTAGGTGTTGACCCTCTCTTTTAAATTAAGTCTCAGTCAGGATGTTTATTTTAGCATGATTTGTTAAACACATTAATATACTGAAATATTAATAAATTACAAATTAAAGTGATGAAGAAATTTGACATATTTACACAATCAAAATATCAGAATAACCATAATTCAGCTAATAAAATGCCATGTTCTTCTTTTGTCACTTCCTATAAATTTTATCAGCATTTTTTGTACACCCACCCACCTCCAAGAATCATGGAGGATGGCCTGATATTAGTTTCTTTGTTGCATTTATTCACATTTAAAAGTGTTAAGACCCATAAAAATGTTTAAGATTTATATTTTCAAATTTAAATGTTGAATTTTTATGTAAATTTGGTGAAACAAAAAGCTGTAATCTTGAATTAATCATGCAAATTCATCAAACACCTTTGAAATTCCTGAGTAATTCAGTGAAAAGAGGATAATTATGTATGTTCAATTGGAATTTCATGGCTAATTTGTGTCTGCAGAGAAAGCCAGTTACATAAATCACAACAATAAATTACATCTGAATTGTTTTCTCCATTTTCTTATCATCAAAGCAAGTTTAATGGAGTGTCAGAGCTGTCTAGAACCTCCCCAGATGCTGATATCATTTGGACTGCCCTGTGTTACAACACAGCTTTTAGATAAACTTCTGCATAGCAGGTTGTAGACAAGAACCTAGGCTTTATTTGGAACATAAATTGACCCGATGCAGATTTTATTATCAGCCTAATATTTAACAATTTCTGTAAATTTTGTCATTCTTAGGAGGGTAAAATGCAATTTTGTTATGTAATAATTGCATAATGGTCTCAGACTTGTGAATTATTTTTTGTTTGTTGTGAAGAACAATGCATATACTCTCCACGGATACAAAATTGGTTGCCAGGCTTAGTCTATTAAGGATGAAATTCTGCTTCAAAATATGCACAAAAAACTTCTGTCAGAGTGCTCAGTGTGTATTCTTGACTGCTCTGGAGTAAGGGAGATAAATGCATCATATCTCCAGCAATAATGGGAATTAGATCCCCAGACTTCAGGATGTTAGTGACAGTTATTTAAGAAATCTCAGGTGCAAAAAAGAAAAAAATCTGACAACTTCAAAGGTCCTTCAAGGTATCACACCGGTAATTGACCAATCAAAATGAACTTAGTCAATTGTAGTTCCATACATAATAAAGAAATATTTTTTTATTGTGAGAAATTTTTTTAATTTCCCTTATTCTATTTTTACATTTTTGGTATCTGTGCTTAGGATATTTTATGTACTTTGTAAAATATTAAAGGTTTTTGACAGGAACTATTTCTTTCGGGGCATAGGAGGCCACTTCCTGGGGTGCACACAGGATGTTTATAAACACATTGAATACACGTGGTTTTGAGGGTATTCCTGTTTGCGGATGGAGAAAATCAGAAAATGCCGTGTAGGTACCCTATTTTTTGGTGTCAGCTGATGTGACTGGTAACGTTTAACACTTCCTGCTAAATATTTTTTCATGAATTCGAATACCTGATTTTTAATGATTTTTTATTCTATATAGAATTACATAGTGAAAACAATTACCGGTGTGATACCTTGAAGGTGATTGTGTAAAATCATCTACACCCATATTAAAGGCAGTTTTAATTTTATAAAGGCATATTTCAACAAAATATGTCATTTTATGAACTTTCTGTGTGAAAGCACATATTTCTAAATTTAGAAGCAGGGTTGACATTAATTTATACAGATTTCTATGTAAAATACTAATGACATGTCATGTTTTAACCTCAAAACTCCAAATTATGACTTTCAAAGGAGGATTATGCATCTGACATGTAGAAAGAAGTTAGAAAATGTTGGTTTTTTATTTTATATGACTTTAAACTCTGTGCACCACCTGACCGCAGTCAATTATAGTGTCTACAGCCTTTGCCGTAAAAGCACTTTAGGCTGATTTTTTCAAGAATAGACTAATTCTGGGTTTGCGAATGAGTTTTCAACAAAAGCGACAACTGCGATTAAATGTGAAGAAGTAAAACATGTTTTTAAAAAGTGTTAAATTTTACAGAGACTGGGTTTACTTTCATTTTATTCACCTTAAGTGATTCATTTATTACTGGAGTGGAGGAATAGAAATAATGAAATGAGTTAAATTTGTCTAACAAAAGTAATGCACAAATAAAATTTATTAAGAATTTTTCAAAAATAAGAAGCTTATGACCAAAAATGCATAAATACTGTCAGGGCATGAGAGTGAATACTTATTCTGAGTCCCAACCATGCATCACACATATGGTGCAGAATGTCACTTAGCGCCATGGTATGCCTGTTATGGTTCTCTAGACTTTTTCCATGCTTTCGCAGCTGACATTCAAGATTTTTCAGTTTGCCGGAGAATGTTTTTTGTCATTTTACAACTTTTATGTAGGTGTTGACCCTCTCTTTTAAATTAAGTCTCAGTCAGGATGTTTATTTTAGCATGATTTGTTAAACACATTAATATACTGAAATATTAATAAATTACAAATTAAAGTGATGAAGAAATTTGACATATTTACACAATCAAAATATCAGAATAACCATAATTCAGCTAATAAAATGCCATGTTCTTCTTTTGTCACTTCCTATAAATTTTATCAGCATTTTTTGTACACCCACCCACCTCCAAGAATCATGGAGGATGGCCTGATATTAGTTTCTTTGTTGCATTTATTCACATTTAAAAGTGTTAAGACCCATAAAAATGTTTAAGATTTATATTTTCAAATTTAAATGTTGAATTTTTATGTAAATTTGGTGAAACAAAAAGCTGTAATCTTGAATTAATCATGCAAATTCATCAAACACCTTTGAAATTCCTGAGTAATTCAGTGAAAAGAGGATAATTATGTATGTTCAATTGGAATTTCATGGCTAATTTGTGTCTGCAGAGAAAGCCAGTTACATAAATCACAACAATAAATTACATCTGAATTGTTTTCTCCATTTTCTTATCATCAAAGCAAGTTTAATGGAGTGTCAGAGCTGTCTAGAACCTCCCCAGATGCTGATATCATTTGGACTGCCCTGTGTTACAACACAGCTTTTAGATAAACTTCTGCATAGCAGGTTGTAGACAAGAACCTAGGCTTTATTTGGAACATAAATTGACCCGATGCAGATTTTATTATCAGCCTAATATTTAACAATTTCTGTAAATTTTGTCATTCTTAGGAGGGTAAAATGCAATTTTGTTATGTAATAATTGCATAATGGTCTCAGACTTGTGAATTATTTTTTGTTTGTTGTGAAGAACAATGCATATACTCTCCACGGATACAAAATTGGTTGCCAGGCTTAGTCTATTAAGGATGAAATTCTGCTTCAAAATATGCACAAAAAACTTCTGTCAGAGTGCTCAGTGTGTATTCTTGACTGCTCTGGAGTAAGGGAGATAAATGCATCATATCTCCAGCAATAATGGGAATTAGATCCCCAGACTTCAGGATGTTAGTGACAGTTATTTAAGAAATCT